CACACACACACACACACACACACACACACACACACACACACACACACACACTTTTCAGTGCTCTTACCTTTGCAGATAATTCATGGACCCTATGGGACAATGGCGGTAGGGTGCACACAGTGGGAAATAGTAACTCTTTCTATCACCAAATGCTGGAGGGTCACTCAGTTTGGCTTGTCCATCAGGAACAGTATGTCGATGAGCATTTGCAAGCACTGCACCCCCCGGAGAGCAATCCGGCTGATTCTACCACAAACAATGAAAGGACCTCTTCACAGGATGATGGCTGTGCCCTCCCGTTGTGTCGTCGCACAGGTGCAGTTTGGTTGGCATGTACACGACATAGCCTATGCTCTGAACACTAAAGGGATGATCGCTGCTAGCCTTTCACACGAAAATTGTGATCCCTGTCCTGTGCTCATCCCCCCCACCCCCTGATTACTTGCCCAGCATGCCATTGTGGCCTTGATATGCCATCCTTAAATAATTGTGCACGTCAGCCTTCCATACTAATGACATGTCAGCAACATGCCATGTGTTGCCAATGCTTCCAGGAAGCTGTCATAGAAAGTACGTGTCTTTGCTGCGTGGACTATCCCCGGTGCCATCACCCTCTACATCCTCTCCTAGCATGTCCCACATGCGGTGTTGGTCATACACCTACGGCAACCGCTGACGGATCTCCCTCTTTCTTGCCAGATGAACGCCGAACACAGCAGTCCGAGGAGGAAAATAGATTTCTATATGAACCACCGGCAGAGCGATGTGCTCATAGTTTATCACCACCAGGGCGAGCTGTTGTGGACCATATCCTGCAGCAGCTGAACGCCCTTGCATTGGACCGATCCTCCCTGATGTCATCTGCCCATAGAGAAGGAATACATACTGAGGAAGCACAAGAAAGATGCTCCATGCCGTTTTGTGATGACCCACTGGAGATTCAACTAGCATGTGGTTCGCATGCCTTGTGTCGTGAGGATTATGAAGGGATAGCCCATGCAGTGAAACGGTATTCACCAGTTCGAAGTAGCTGATGTAGGACCCAGGGTTCAATCCCTAGTTCCCCAACTTACCTGTGTACAATATCTGTGACAA